GCTGAACTATTTGCATCTTACGAATTGGAGCCCTAAGTCATGTTCATTTAATCAGTCACTCCAGTGCAAATACTGATGAAATCGCCAAGTGATTTCTTCGGCAAAAGGCAAGTCATGCTTTGCAACTCTGATTCCATATACTTTTCCCCCGGGGTATAACCCCTGCTTTTATTTCATTCCTAAATAATTTTTTGCATGTTTGGAGGACTATGAATAAAGTCAACAATATATTTTTGTTTTTATTTCAAATCCTGAAGGAAGCTGCAAAGGACATGTATGCATAAGAAGGAGAGAAACTGGTCAGTTGTTTAAAAACAAAATTGCTGTGATACCTAATGTATTTTCCTTTATCAGAAATTGTTGACAACCACTTTATATTTTAGATTCCTTAAGTTAGAAAACAAATGTTTTTTTAACAGTGGAAATCCAATCCTTTCTCTTAATCTTTGCATAGTTGTAGCCTTGAAAAAGATTGTACACAGTTAAAAATACATTACTGAGTCAATACAGATGTTCCTGTACTAGGAGATTTACTTCAAAGTGAGGTGCTTGTTGTACAGCTTCATACTAACTAGAATATTACTGCTTTTTCAGTGAGAAGAGTTGCAAGTGGTATCTGCCTTTGTAGCCCATTGACAAGGGATGTGACTGGTTCTGTTTCACCTACCACCCACCCTGCACAACATCTAATAATGCACGATGTTTTGGTAGGCTGGTTCAACTTATTAATGCAGAGGAAGACTACCCCCCCCTCCCCCCAAGTTATTTTCCTGTAGCGTTAGCAAGCTGAAGGATCTCAGGAAATTATCAGATGAACATGGGAACTGGTGAAATGTGTGTGAGTGTGTGTATGTGGGGAGATAGAATGATACATCCTTCTTTCAGCAGCAACAAATAAGTAGAATATGTAACATGACTCTAAATATGCTGGATTTTACATCAGTACAAGTCACTGTTTCCTGAAGAGAGTTTCCTTCTAAATAAATCTTCATTCAATTCTGTGACCAGGTATTCTTTGTGCTGTTGCTAGGTTCTCCCAGGTTGGCATTTGCATCGTGGGATGTCTGTCAGATGTAGCTGCGGTGTCAGCACTCCATGTCCTGGAATCCTTTTACTTTCTATGATTGAATGTTCTTTTTTGCCACTTCCAAAGTCTGAAAAGACTGTCACAGATAAAACCAGGCTCTGTGTTGCACTGAGCGTAGCTGAGAATATGCAGTGACAGTGGTTGGTCTACAAAGCTGCAACTGTGGTGGCATGCTGGTTTAGTGGTCAAAAGAGGGTGAGGGCCAAGCAGCCAGGGGTTTGCAGGTGTTCTTTTTCATAGAAGCCTCATAGGAATGTTACCTGTACAGAAGAGTCCATGGGCAGAAAGGGGAAGTTATGATTACATGGATGTGGCTATGACTCAAGTTACTTAGTTTTTGTAGAAACTTAAAGCAAGGAAGGATACATATTTCTGGCTTACTGTCACTCTTCAATAATGGGTTATAGCCTCAAGATATAAATGGGAAGCATAGGACTGAATAGTTCCCCAAGGAGTTATTTTTAGGGAGAAAGGGTTTCTTTGGTGTTTTTTTTTAAAAAAAAAAAACAAAACAAAACAAACAACCTGCACCTGCAGTTGAACAACAGAGTTCTTAGATTACTCACTGCAGCAGCTATTTTGTGAAGTTATAACATTTCTGGGAAGAAACAAACTATGCTTGAGCTTGAAAACTATTGATGTGCTACCCTAAAATATTTAGGAGACCTTTGCCTAAATAGGGGAGAATTCAAAACAGGGATGCTTAGGCTGCTTGGTGGTTTGAGGAGAGAACGATGCAGTTAGGAGTTTATTGGCAAGGTCTGTAAACTTAGCACTCACAATGATCGTCTTTTTAAAGTTGTGGGGTCCTTTAAGTGACTTATCTTGTGAAAACGTAGTAAGGTTTTCATGGCACCCAACACTTTTCACAACCCCCCCGCCACCACCACCACCACCTTATTTGTCATTTACATGTAAGAATAATCTGTCTGAAGTCCAGTGAGAACACTTCTGGCCATTAACAGCTCCAAATTTTGAGGTTTTCACTAGTGGAGGTCTAGTAAAAGTCATACATAGGAATAATGTAGAGAGGAGAGCATGTTCTGCTACAACATTAGGAAGGTAAGGAGGAAAAGTAGAATTTCAGAGTTTAAGAAGTGGACTTTGTAGTTAGCATTTTGTGTTGGAGCTGAGCTGTGCAATTGCTGGCCCTGCTTCTGTTTTGGGAAGAAATTGTCTCATGCTATTATTATATTGTTTTCAAAGGAGCATAAAGAAAAGGTTGAAGTCTTGACAGCTATGACAAAGTCCAGTGCCATAATGTGTCACCAGATAAGTGATACTGTATAGTCTGTGGCAGTCAGCAAAGCAAAGATAGCAGCCACTATTTATATGTCAGCTTTAAAGGAGAGGAAGTGTTACCCGAAGGGGAGAGAATATCAGAATTTGACAGCCTGGTAGACATCTGAGGTTAAATGTCATCTTTTGAATAGATTTAACTTACATATTCATTTTATGTATTGAGATCTGAAATTCCAGCTTTTAAATGCTCATTTTGTTACTTCATGGCACTTAAAAACATTGTGCCTAAGCAGAGCAAAGTTTCCTGCTAGAGCAGATGATGTTAAAGGTTAGGTCATAATTTTCAATATCTGACTTATACTGTGTAAATATGTAGGTGCATATGCAGCCAACAACAGGAGAGAGAGATGCATCTTGTTCGTTTCTTAACCTTAAAAAAAAAAGTTGACTTTCAGTAGTAATTTGTATATTACTTGGATTCCTCCTTTATTATATCAAATGATTTTTATGTTTCCTAGGCTTGCTGTTCTTTGTAAGTCCTTGTTTCAATTTAAAACTAAATTAAGACCTTGTTTGTATGTCTCCATGAGCAGCATACACAATGCACAGAAAGTAACTGTGCAGGTATTGGGATTGTTTTATTTTTTATCCTTCCCTGCCATAAGTTGTTTGTCCTTTGAGCATTTGTTTGTGGGGGTTTTTTTGTTTTGTTTTTTGTTTGGTTTTTTTTTTTACTTCCCGAGTACTCTTATCCCTTTACATCACTTGGAACAGGAGGGAATAGAGCAGAGATACTTCTATAGTTATTTTAATGATCTTGGAAGAACAGAAGTTGTTAGCCTTCAAACAATATTTTCAGCTTGGCATTTATGGGGAATAGTATGCTTTGAATCAGAGACACTGTATTTTCCTCTTCTAAAGAAAACTGCCAGTATCTTTTTTACATTTTGAAGTCTGTGTGAAACTTTCCATTGAAGTGTGCATTACAAAACTTTGATTATACGGCTAAAAGATCACTTTCTGTGATTTCACAATTAGTCTTAAGTGTTGCAGAAACTAAAGTTGATAATACCTTGATGCTGTTTCATCTATTCTGTCTGCTATTGTTTTTGTGTGAAACTGGTAGTAAATCCAATTATTTTCTGTTTTACTTGAAAAATAATATTCTGTAGTTTTTAAAGCCACAGTTTCAGGATTTTAATGATTTTAATCTAGAAGCTGGTAGAAGGTATTTGTTTCAATACAGATTCCCTGGATGTAGGGCAAAGAGGGAGGCAGAAGGCTGAACTGTGACCTTCATCTTCCATTCCCCAGCTGTAGTGCAAGTTACGTGTTCTCTTCTCTCTGCTTTTTGCCTTAAACACAGCATGCAAATCTAACAGCCAGTCACATCTGGTGCCTGGCTCCCTAGATCAAGGGAAAAACTGCACCACTGCACAGGAAGATGGAGAATGTGCTTTTCTGTCCTTGATCCTGCTTCTGCCTGTTCATACGGCAGAATGTGAGACTTTTGAGGATATGGCATGCTTTTGTGCCGCTTTGTGGCAACTGTGACTGCGCTGCTTTATGTTGCTTTGCTTTTCACAACCTCCCATTCATGTGCCTATCCTAGCTTTTTCTTAGAAGAGCATTGCCCACCATAAAGAACCTTTTGCACCTTTTAAAAATAGGTGTAGGATACATGAATGGGGGTGCGGGGTGTGGATGGGTTCGTCTAAATCCTGGGTACCTGATGCTGAGCTCAGAACTGGCAGTTGCAACTTAGAAGAGAGATCCTGGACTTTCTCTGAATGCATTGGCTTGATACGCTTTGGCAGCCAAGCACGTCAACAGTGGGCCAGACAGTGTCAGGAAGGGAATTGAGAATAGGACAAGAAGGGTTTGATGTGACATGGTCTTGAATATAAAAGCTTTGAGAAGCCCAGTGAAACGTTGGTGTGCCCATTTTTTTGAGTGTTGTCAATTCTGGTCTCTCCTTCTCAGGAAGAATGTTAGAGCAGGTAGAGAGGGGCAGCTAAAATAGTCATAGGATCATCTGTCTTACAGGAAGAGACTGAAAAGATTGCAACTTCAGCATGTGGGACAAGGCAGGCTGCACCCTTTAACGTATGTAATCCAACAGCTATAGTTCTTGAGGGAACGTGGTGGGGATGGACAGCAGATGGACGTGCTCTTCTCGCATAGCGTTCCCTGTTGCTGCTGCTGAGGACCACTGATCTGACCCAGCAGTGCCTTTCATATGTCCTGAACAGGAGAACGCCACGGGTGCTTGTCTTGGACTATGACCTGAATATGAAAGTTAAGTAAGTCGTTCCAGTACTTTTATGGTTAGGTAGTGATTTTTATCAGTTGAGAATTTGGTTCATTGCTTTGGAAAGAATCAAATGATAACTTATTGAAGGTTCCTTTAGAGGGCATTTGGTGACATGTTTTCTCAACTGCGACTTTTGAGAGTTGTTTCTGTATTTCAGTTAGTGGATTATTGCAAGGTAAAATGCAGTGAGGTGCTACCAGAAAAATACTACAGATTTGCGTGAAGCTAATAGGACCTACTTTTTTCTCTCATTTCTTTTGGATGGGTCCTGTTTTCATGAAGTTTTCATACAATCATCATTTCTGAGGTAAAAAGCCTTTTTTTTTTTTTGTCTTTCTTCTTCTTTCTTTTTAACAGGTTCTTGAAGATGCAGAGGCTCAACATTTGTTCCAGTCCATCCTTCCTGATATGGTCAAGCTGGCGCTCTGTCTCCCTAGTATCTGCACCCAGGTAAGTACACACAGCTAGCTAAGTGCTCTGTGGCAGACCACTTTTCTGCAAACTGTACCTAATGACTGAGGTCAAAACATCAGGATCGTGTTCTGTTCTTAGTAAAAGCTAAAGTTTTTTGTGTGGAATGTAGCTGAGGCCTAGGGAGCAGAATGGACAATGCACATCTGTAATGATATAATAGAATGTTAAAAAAAAAAAAATCTGTCATATTTTTAACCTGAACTTCAGTAACACTTTCCTTTCTATATGCTGGAGTTGCTTCTTGCTTTTCTTAAATGAAATGACCGTGAAACCTTTCAGGTTTGAAAATCGCGCTTATAAACTGAAACACTTAAAAAATTAGATGTTTTAGGATTATTCATTTTAGAAATTTTTTAATCCTAGAAGTAGTATTTTCATAAAGCCTTTGTTTACTTGGGAGCATATTTTAGTCTAGTTAGAGCATCACAATACTTGCGCACATACAAACCTTAACTAATTCTTTATTGTTGTTATGGGAATCATTTCTGTAGGTAGTAAAGCTGATAAAAGTGAATAGGACTGATCAAGTAAGGGAGGATGTATGATAGGTAACGCATTAGCAGGGTAATGACTCTAATTTGTGAGCTCCTTTGTTACAATTTTCTGAATTGATTTTGATGGACAGGAGCAGGGAAAATCTCTCCCAACTTTGTTATGCCGCGGGGGTCCTACAGTAGATATATTCGTACTGTTTGAAATTATATTTCTTAAAAAATTTTTTGTACTAGTCACTTGATGGGTAAGTTTTTGAGAATACTATGAAGTTTCTGAACACAAAGTCAAGCACAAGACTTGCAAGTTCATGTAGTAATGCCTTTTGTAAAGATGAAGTACCCGTTAGGCACTGTAAATTGTGAAGAACTTTGTCAGACTCTTTTTTTTTTTGTTAGATATAAAGCTAAATTTGTTCCAGTATAACATACTGTCCAAAATATCCTATTTTTATAGGTTTGTACAACTTATTAGAGCGAGCTTCTCAGGCTTTTTTCCCCCTCTAGCTGTGTGACTTCAGACATCATAATATAGCTTGTTAATTAAATAGCCAGAAGACAGAATGAGATTCAGTGAATGTGAATGTACTAGTTAGAAGAATGAAGGAAAACTTGTTTGTTTTGTGGAGTAAACAGGGCTGTGTATTCAACAGTCTAAATTAGTAGCAATTTCTGTATTCACAACTAAAAGGATTAAAATATAGCTGCTCAGCTCTCCTGGAGCTTGGCTAATGATGATGGCTGAGAATATTGGAAGAAGCGGTGAAAACTGTGTTCTCTTTCTCCTGTCAAGTGGGTTTATCGTAATTGCTACTGGACTCCTTAGCAGTCAGAATGATATTTTTTCCCACCCCCAGTATTATCACATAATTTAAAAAAAAAAAAAAACAAAACACTGTGAATGTGGGGAGCGAAAATTCCAAACCAGGAGCAGGAGGCTAAAGCCTGATAAAATGGAAGATGTATAACATTTCAGGGTTGGGTGTTTTTTTGGTTCCCCCCGCACCTTTGTTTCTTTTTATATTAAAGAAACCCTAGTCTAGAGCCAAGTAAAACTCCAAACTGAAGACCAAAGTGAAGCTAAACTTTTTTTGTTCATTCTGATTATAAAAGAATGGATAATCACACATTTTCTGCAAATATTATCAGTGTTATTTCTTCAAGTAGGATGGAAAAAAAAACGAAGCAAGTCATAGAGTGATGATCTGTGGTGTGACTTCCATGTTTCTTTGTAAAGTATAAAGCATGGTTATTATAGCTGAAAGCATTCCTTAAGGGTTCTTAACTACAGCTATTGAAAGTCGGTTTTTACGTCAGTTTTTAGGATTGCTCAGGATTTGCAACATCCCATCTATTTTTTCCCCCTCTCCATTCCCCATGGTTTTGTTTGATAAGTTGTGTTTTCTTGGTCTTTCTCTTTATTATTGATTAGAAATCTGCAGTTTGTCAAGCAAGCTTTTTCTGAATTGTCTTAAATAAACAGTTCGTGACTTTAATGGTGCTGCTGATTAAAGGGTTCACCAATGGCCTAAATTACTCCCGCTCTAATTTAACAAATGTAATTTTGTGCTCCTGTTTTTTCTTTCAAAATGGGTAAGCTAATTATTTTTCTCTCTCCTTCCCTCCCTTCTCTCCTGCCCCTCCCTCCCCCTCACTCTTTTGTTGGTAGCCAATACCTCTACTGAAACAAAAGATGAATCACTCCATCACAATGTCACAGGAACAGATTGCTAGTTTTCTAGCCAATGCTTTCTTCTGTACTTTTCCACGTCGCAATGCGAAGATGAAGTCTGAGTATTCTAGTTATCCAGACATTAACTTCAACAGGTATGGCACTCGGGAGTAAATGAAGCTGATAACCCTTCAATGAAAATATCATTGTTGTCATTTAGGGGAGAAACTCATTGTTTCTTTCACGTTTCCGTCACTAATTTTGGTAGTTTGCTTTCTGTCTTTTCTGTTTACCTCTAAGGGACAAGAAAAATATGCAACTATGTAAGAAAGGATCTTGTGCACAGGAAGATATGCTTAATATTCCAAATTTTTCTTTTTTTCATGCACGCATATGCACAGACACGCTCTTGCTCTGGCATAATTGGGCTGATAGAATTCCCTACCTCCTCATAAGCCATTCGTCTGTGAATGGTATATTTCGGTTGTGCTTCAAGTGTTCTATATGTGTTTAAATTAAAGGTCAGTGTTTCCCCAGCCATGTTTCTGTTGTCTCCTTTGTGTCAGCATTAGTGATTGGCACATTAAGTCAGATCAATAGGACTTGATTCTTCAGCATCCATACAATCCCTTATCATTTTAAGGCAGTTGTAGAGCTGCATGTTAAAATAAACCTGTCCTTTTTGCTACAAGCTAGCCTAAAAAGGTTTCAGAACCACAATAAGAATTTAATTAAAGATACTCTGATTTCTAAATAAACGCTTTATTCTTTTTTCCTCGACGCTAGCTTACAGACAGATTTGATTAGAAATTTTTCTTCATGTATTTTATTTTTTAAATATGCTCATTTCAGTTTTAAATGGGGGGAAGAGGATGAAGACATTTCCTGCTGCAGAATATTATGGTTCACGTGGACTTGTAGATTAGAAATGAGAGTTTGTAGTCTTCTGGGCACTTCCATGCAAGTCTGTGTAGCTCAACCTTAAGTTTATTAGGCTGGAGCTTGGATGAATTACTGATCTAGAGTTCTTCTTATTCCTCACAGTTAACATATGTAGTGTATGTGCTCTGAAAACTGAGATGAAGTAATAAAAACACTGTTACCTGTGATCCAGCACACTTGGGTATGTGTGTCATAAGAGCTATATTAGACTAGAACTTCCCGGGATAAATTGTCAGGCATGCTGATGTACTAATAATGGGTTTGGTGCTTGCTGTTTTTAAGGGCTAGCACAGGTTTCTCTATACTTTGTATTTCAGAAGAGAGACCAGGGTCACTGTCTTGGTGTTTCTTCCAACAGTGCAGTGGGTTGGTGTTTCTTCCAACAGTGCAGTGGGTTGGTGTTTCTTCCAACAGTGCAGTGGGTTGTGGAAGAGAAGTGTGGGTGGGCATTAATGTGCCATACAATTCAGCGTATTTTTCCACCATTAGTTCATAAGAACAAATAAATGAAAAGTACCACACATGCATTAAAAAAGATTTATGTTCAGGGCAGTGAAAGAGGACAGTAAAGTTCTGGAAAGTGTTTTTGTTTGATTGTACCAGCTACACACTTCTAGCTGAATTTTATGGCTTTTTTAAAGGACTTTAAGGTACCAGTTTTTCTTGTAACTTAAGCATGTTATAAATCAAGCGGTTAAATTCTTACCAGCTACAGAATAAAACGCTGTTAAATCACTGGAGTAAATTCATATTGTCTTCTATGAACATTGCACAGCAATGTAAAGTCACAGTAGTACAGTGTAATACTAGTGGTTAACTTGAGGCATAATATTTTGAACTACTTTTAAATAAAAAAGCCTTGGTAAATTATTAGGTAAATAGTTTCCTGCCATAGACTTAAAGAATGACGAGTATAAAGTATAGTCAGGATTTTCTGCCCTGTTCTATAGTCAGTCCTCCTCTGTTTTCTGACTTGGCTTCCTAGTGCCAACTCATAGTAAGTTCCAACAGTGTTATTTAAAAGGGTTAATACAGCAGACAACCTTCAGGCCTTCCTCTTGCATTATGGATGAGGTAACGCTCAGCTTTTAGTCACATAGGGTAGAAAGCAATTTTTATTCGTGTAAGTGCAAGAATATTGTTGCCAAACTGGAGAGAAGAGGGAAGCTGATGTCCTCTGGTTCTTGAGGATTAAAAGTGGCTCTTCCTCAGTGTTTGCCAATTTATGCGGTTTTTATATAATTAGTTTCCTTTTTCAGTCCTTTTTTTAATTAACCATTTGTTGGACCAAAATTTTCCCCTCCTGTGTATTTTGCATTTGATAATGAGCAGATTAGTGAAGTAGAATACGAGGTGTGACAGGCAGTGGATAAAATGAGAGGGAATGTGTCAGTGAGAGGGGGACTGGCAGGATAAAAGCAAAAGGAGATTGAAGAGAGTGAGTGGTGGAGAGAGTACTACAAGGATTTACAGGTTTTCTATTGTGCTACTGTATATAACCTGACTTAGTTGAAATCTAAAATTATTATCCTATTTTGTTTTCCTCCTGTTAACACTGTATTTTCTCACCCTGAAAAGTTAGTTTAGTAGCAAGGACAGAGAATAAAATGTCATGTTTTCAGCTATTGTTTCAGACTTGTAAAGATGACAAGGTTTGGTCCATTGCAGTGTGCATTTTCAGCTTTTACGAAAAAGACTTCCGTGAAGCTGGATGTACTCAAAAGGCAGTAGGCAGTGACTGAAGTTAAAATGTTTGTGACTTTTTTTCCTGTTTATAACAGTGTTTTGATGTGAGGGCTTTGGAGGCTGCTGCTCTGCTCTGTCTGCTTAGGGATGGGCATAACAGAGTGTTCCACACAGCAGCCCTTTCCTCCCCACAGTATTATGGTCTGCAGCTTTTTCCAGAGTCAGTTCTGTCCTCAGCATGATTCATCTGCTACATGACTGTGAATGAATGACTTTGTTCTTTGGGTACAAAAAGATAATCTGCCATGGTTCTCTAATGAAGCAAAATTACCGAGCAGATGCTAGCATTTGAGGGATTTTTTTCTTCAGCAAATGTGGTGTTCCTCGATTCCACTATGCATGCCCTTTCTACCTTCATACAGAAGGCCTCCGCCCTTCCCCTCCACTCCTTGAGACTGAAAAAATAAAATTTGCGCCTTAAGTTAGAAACACAACTGTGTAAGTTGTTTCTTTCTTGTGTTTTCAGTTTTACACAGCAGTCATTTATCAATTCGCTTTATGCAGACTTAAACATTAGTACCTTTTTATACGCTATAAAATAGTTATGGTTTCTACATTTAAACGCTGTCACGTTCCCTCTTCCCTCCCAGTCTTCTCCCTGCTTTAGGTTTTTCTGTGGTATTAACTAGCATATTGTGACTTCCACCCCTACTCCCCCAAGTTACAAATCTGTTTGACAACACAATGGACAGTCAGTGCAAGATAGAGAATTTACTCTTTTTTCTTTTTTTTTCCCCCCCTTCTCCCTCTGTGAAGTATTTTTCTGGTGCACCAGTGCTTGGCACTGTCACTACCGTGATGATGGCAAGTTGTTTGAATGCTGGTGCGTGTGCTAATAACTGCAACTGATTGGAAGGAAGGCCATTGTATGTGTTAGTATTAACGTAAGTCATCTATGCTTTACCTCTCCTCTCCTGCCTGTTGGTCTTGCCAGATGAGAGGATCCCTCTGTGAAGCATTTTTCTGGTGCACCAGTGCTTGGCACTGTCACTACCGTGATGATGGCAAGTTGTTTGAATGCTGGTGCGTGTGCTAATAACTGCAACTGATTGGAAGGAAGGCCATTGTATGTGTTAGTATTAACGTAAGTCATCTATGCTTTACCTCTCCTCTCCTGCCTGTTGGTCTTGCCAGATGAGAGGAGAAAAGCGAGCATTCTTTTTTTAACACTGAAGCACTTAGTTTAATAGTATGTTGAGACACGGACTGTCTATTTTGATTGTTCATTATGCTACAGACTGAAAGTCACCTGTGTATAATGAAATACTCAGTAATTTAATTGAATTCTTCCCTTTCGTACTTGGCAAGGATGGGCCTGTTACGATTCTTAAGTCATTAATAACATAATTCATTTCAAATGTAGTTAATAAAATTGAATTCGTAGTTTAACTTTGAGAGCTTTAATATTTATGAAATGTAGTAGATAGAATGACATCCGTTCAGTGGCCAAACATTAGATCATACTAAATAGCATAAAATACTGCTTCCGTTCAAAATATCAAGCTAAATTTAGTCTTCAGTTTTTCTTTTTGAAAACACTTTTATAATGTATAAGATGGGAATAGATTGGGCAGCTTTATGCAAAAATATCCCGTCACAAAAGAAAGAAATAATTAAATTTGCCATTTTATTCCTTATACTGATAAATTTTCCATGGAAGTTGCATGCTGGTTGAATGTAGAGCATGAATTCCATTCACTCATTTGAGATCATCTCTGCAATTATGACGTTGGTTGCACAGTTTAAAGTAGTTTCTTATGGTGATGCTCATAGTTAATCTTTTTGTGAATAGTTTGTGGTTTAACGTAGCACTTTAATATATTTTAAGAGGAATATATTTTTTATGAAAGATAAGATCGAACTATATTTTCCTGCATTTATCTTTTATAAGATGCTGAAACAGATACTGTCCACTGTCACACAAGACTTGGCGCTGTGGAGGTTTTTCTTCCCCCCTGTTGACCAAGTTATCAGACCTGTGTCGTAACACTATAGAATTTGGTAATTTAGGAAACCACCTAGTTTGATTATATGTAAAAGCAAAGTATAAGGAAACAAACGTCTGCAATCTTGAGTCAGTGTTCTGGATGACTGAAAAGGAGACAGGTTTGTCGAGGACCCACTTTGCTTTTGCTGTGTCTTTGACCTGCTACAGATCCCTTCTTAGCTGTTCTGTCAAGTTACAGTAACTCCTCTGTTTTCCTTTTTAAAAAAACTACCGTAGTTAAACTGGAGACACTGTGCATCGGTGATAGCTCCCATCAAAGCAGTTGAGGCTGAATTTGTAACTGAAGGTAGCATGTCTAATGACATAAGCCTGGTGAATCTCTTGGCACGTAGATTAGTGGATGCTCTGGTCTGAAACCGCCAGTATTCCACTAGGACTGAATTTCTTCATCTTTATCAAACAAACCTTTAAAGTAATTTCAAGTGACTGGAAATGAGGGGAAAAAACCCCACTAGTTAA